AAAAAGAGCTTTATTTCATTGGAAAGTACTGAAGTATACAGATTGCACAGGTAGTGAAAAGTGATAGACCATACTTACCTTCGATAATAAGGACTCTAGGTAAGTGAGAAGAAACAAGTGCCAACCTTTTCCCCTTCTGTTTCTGATTCTTTGATCTGAGTAAGTGGTGCAAGACTATAAATCAGAGAAGAAAAAGGTAGCTGATACCCACACCTGGGAAATAGTGCTTTTTGACTACATCTGTTTTGCCTGAGCTCTCCATAGAGGTTGTATATGCATCAAATGTCTGGAACAAAACACTCTCCTGCTACTGCTTCTACCCTGTTAGGCCATTCATATGCGTAGATCAGAATCCTTTAGTGGCATATCTAGCAATACATATGACAAATACTTGTTTATTATGGAACCAGTCCAGCTGTGACTGAAATAAGTGGAAAGACGCATGTGGATTTCAGTAAGAGTTGGTTCAGACTCCTTGTGAACACAAGGATTTATGATATCCTTAACATTTCATTTCCTCAATTATAAGCACTTGGGTTTTGTAAATGACGTGCTAGATAAATACACTGTTGTCACTTAGCAGACTTCACTGGTGTGTGAAAAGAAGCCTTTTATTTTCAGATAAACTGAGGAGCAGGGAATTAGGGTTAGTTGCTCAGATAGCATAAATTTGCACAGGTCCATGAATTTCAACTGGCTTTCCAATATCTGATCTGTCAGCAAATGGAATTTAAGAAGAAAGTTTATATTTATTTGAAGAGGACGTGTAGAGGTGCAGGTCACTTACCTGAGGATATAGCCTCAGCAAGAAAATATTAGAATACAGGCTTCCTAGTTAAGATTTTTCTCCTTTAAAGCATGGAAATCACAGACATAAACATTATTAGTAAAGAAATTTTTAGCAGCACATGAAAAACTAGTATTTATTGGAAAAAAAAGTCAAATTTTGGCGAATATCTGAATGGAGGGATTCTTATATATTGTGACATTTAAAAATTAGGTGCTATTGAAGTAGTTTCTGTGCTGTTGTTCTGTTGTTGTTTCCATTCCATAGAGACATTTCCTATTACATTACTTGAAAAATAGTTACGTAATCACTTCCATTCAAAACTGAGATTTTCAAGATGCTGATGAAATTCAAATCTAAAATGTAGTTTTGCAAGTATGGAAGGAAATCTTACTGGAAAGAAGTCTTCAGCATAATAGTTTCAACAGGTTTTTGAGCTATAGGTCATTAAACAGATATAAGGAACTTAAGCTTTATTTTTTTTTATTTTTCTTTTACTTTTTTTTATAAAGCTGATTTAAAAAGAAAAGTAGATGTTGCATGCTGCTGTTTCACAGTCAGGACCAGGACCCTTTATTACAAGAAATAATTTGAAAAAAGGTAGACCTGTAGTAGTAATCTAACATAGTTATTTCCTTCTTCCATTATTCTTCAAAGGGATTTTTTCATCACCTGCCTCTCTTGCTAGTTGCACAATAGAAAAGAACTAACGAAGCCAATCTGACCTATAATACAGCATAATAAAATTACTGGCTTGTCTCAGTGGGAAAAAGTTTCTTTGAAAGACTCAGTCACCCAGCACAACAACGTTGTTACAAAGGCAGACATTAAAACAGTGTCATAGAATAACAACTATTTGAATAATGCTAATGTAGTGGCAACAGTGGTCAGATACCCATTTTTTCAAGTGTTGTGTCTGTAAGGTTCAGATGCAATTAAACTGACCATGTGTTCATAAAAAAAAATTAAAATATACAGGCTGTAATTTTTACTTTGTTCCAAGCATTTAGCCTAAGCTATTGGCAACAGTACATGCACATCTCAGAATCTAGAATCAGCAACTTTCCATTAAAAACAATTATTTCTGTGCTTTGTTCTCTCTTCCTTTTTTTTTTTCTTTCTTTCATAAGAGGCAGGTTAATCAATACATAACCATGAATAACAATTATGATGATGGAAAATATTAAGGGCTTGAGACTGCTTCCCCAGTAGTTGGTAGGAGTTTCTTCACTGACTTTAGCAGAAGCAGGGACAAATACTAGAGTACCTACATATATAATTTAATCTTTCATAAGGACACATGCAATTTTCATTGACCTGAGATGAAGCAGCTACCTAAGTCTTCTCAAGCTGTAGGGCAGAATATTATCAAAATATCTACATACAGCTTTTCACGCTCAGTTTTATTACCTGTACAGTGTGATAAAGCCAAGTGAGGTGAGGATTGGTATCATTTCTCTTTTTTGTCTTGAAGTAGCATGGTGCATCTTGTAAACTATCTAATCAATTTTAAAGCTGCAGAGGATGTTCTAGACTTTGGGGGGGGGGGGGGGGAGGGGGCAGGAACCTAGTCAATTTTGGTGTATACAGAAATGGAAAAGAAGAGAAACAGATGCAGCTCTTGCACATGATTTCCACAGGCATCTGTTTCAATTACCTGCATAATTGTCAGCTAATCAATTGTTAATTGTAAATGTCCAGTTGTTTAACAGGATTATACCTGCTATTGCAATTCCTTATCCTAAACATGTTACAGATCTTCAGTCCTTGAATTATTTATTTCTAGGCAAAAACAGTGAGAGGAAGCTGTCAAAGCAAGGAATAGAAATCCATGTAAAAGGGCAGGAACCTAGGGAATCCAGATATGGGTAACTATAAGACGTGAATATGTCTAAAATACATGTGGATAAGTAAAGCATGATGGCATAAGTATATGTATGATGCTCTGATGGAACAGGGATGTGATGTAGAACGTGATAGATGGAAAGTGACAGAGGGGAAAAAATTTTCTAGCGAGAGTAGGCAAAAGAGCTTTATTATAGTTTTCAAAATTATGGTATGTTGAACTTAATTTTGTAAAATGATGTGTGATTTCTTGCAGCCTAACTTGGTTTAGGAACAGAGGGTTGGTATTTAAAAAAATTGCTTTGGGATAGATAGAAATGGGTAGGCAAATTTTTACCCCTGTACTCATTCTAACTTTCTGTTTTGTTTTGGTTTTTGGGTTTTAGGGTTTTGTTTTTTTTTTTTACCAGCTGTTGTGAAATCATACTCTGAAAAATCTTATAGAAATGCTGTTTAATAACTACATAATTTGCTTAAGCTTTAAAGAGTCAGTTAAAATACAACAAGGATCCTTTCCTGTGATTCAAGTGGGCTAAACAATTTCGGGAAGACCATGAAATAAGAGTGTACCTTTCTCATCATTTCTCTCATTTCTAGAAACTATCACAAAAATACACACAACTAAAGAAGTGTCAGTAATTACATACAGCATGCAAAACAAAGAAATGTTTGCAGTACTTCAACCTCAATGATAATCAGGGACTGATTAACTGATTATGTTATTCATTACTAAAGTGACCTTAGGTTGACAGTAATGTGTCAGAGAAACTTTATATCTATTTACAAATTATTCCTCTAAATATTTGGTGAAAAAGCATTAACAGAAGAACTGAGCTAGTGGCTTTAAAAACAAACAACAACAAAAGCTACAGAAGGTGTGAATGAGTGAAGATGACTTGCATTCCAGACCATTTTTCTTTCTCCTGCTATGTTGAAGGCATTAAAAAAAAAGGAAAAATAAATTTATAACTGAGATCATTATAAGAAGGGAAGATACCTATGAATAGCAGTGTGAGAGGAGAGGTCACACAAAGAATAAAAGTACTAAGGTATTTCTGAATTGGGGTTTTTCCTGTGCGGCATTCTGTGTGTGAGAGCTCCAGCTTTATGCAGACTTGAATAGCCATCCCATGAGCTTGGAGGCTTAAGGGTAATTTAACAATCTCTGAGTCATATCAGTCTATCCTGGTGTCCTGGGTTCAGCAGTAGCAGTCATGTTTTTCCTTTATGTTAGCTGGTGCAGTGCTGTGTTTTGACTTCCAGCCTGAGAACAGTGTTGGTGAAGCCGATGTTTTCGGTTGTTGCTAAGGGATGTTTACCCTGACCAAGGACTTTGTGAGGCTCATGCTCTGCCAGGGAGGAGGGGAAGCTGTGAGGAAGCAGAGACGGGGCGCCTGACCCGGGCTAGCCGGGGAGGTATTCCATACCACAGCACGTCATGCCCGGGGTGGGGGGGGGTAACTGGGAGTTACCCGGAAGGACATGGGCTTCCGGGTGGGACTCGTTTCTTGGCCGGTGGTATTGTATTCTCTTCCTTGTTATTTTCCCTTATCATTGTTGTAGTTGGCGGTAGTGGTGGTGACTTGTGTTGTACATTGGTTGCTGGACTGTTCTTGTCTCAACCAGTGGGAGTTGCACTCTTTCGATCCTCCTCCCCGTTCCTCCGGGAGCGGGGAAGGGGAGAGCCCCGGTGGGGAGGGGGGGGGTTGCCCCGGGGGGGGTGGCCCTCGACTGTTGTCAGCTCACCCCCTGACTGGGTTTAAACGACACATAGACTTCACTGTGAACTAAGCTGGTAAGTTAAAGCGTAAGGAAAAGTTTTAAAATCAAAACTGTTCCCTGGAGCAGAAACCATTCAAAGCCCAGTATATGCTGGTGGTCCACATGCGGAGACATACAGGGGAAAAGCCACACAAATGCACTTTTGAAGGTTGTACAAAGGCCTACTCCAGACTAGAAAACTTGAAAACGCACTTGAGATCTCACACTGGAGAGAAACCATATGTGTGTGAACATGAAGGCTGCAATAAAGCTTTCTCCAATGCATCCGACAGGGCCAAGCACCAAAATAGGACTCATTCTAATGAGAAACCATATGTCTGCAAGATACCGGGCTGCGCAAAGCGTTACACAGACCCCAGTTCTCTCCGGAAACATGTGAAGACCGTGCATGGTCCGGAGGCACATGTCACCAAGAAACAGCGGGGAGATATCCACCCATTGTTTTTTCTGACTTGACCGCTTTCACTTGGAGGCATTCTTCACGCTTTGAGGTAGTGTTGCTGAGGTCCTTTCCTCACTCGACGTGGAAGGCTCTTCACTGATCTTGCCGAGGCCTTGCCCGCCCTGCGGCTGCATTGTGCCCACCCTGCTCACTTCGGCAGCACATATACTAAAATTGGAACGATACAGAGAAGATTAGCATGGCCCCTGCGCAGGGATGACACTTTGATTTTAAAACTTTTCCTTATGCTTTAGCTTACCAGCTTAGTTCACAGTGAAGTCTATGTGTCGTGGTTTAAACCCAGTCAGGCAACTTGTTCATTCACTCCCAGTGAGTGGTGCCGAGCTGACAACAATCGAGGGCCACCCCCCCCGGGGCCCTCCCCTTCCCCGCTCCCGGAGGAACGGGGAGGAGGATTGAAAGAGTGCAACTCCTACGGGTTGAGACAAGAACAGTCCAGCAACCAATGTACAACACAAATCAACACCACTACCACCAACGACAACAATGATATTAGAAAATAACAAGGGAAGAGAATACGATACCACCGGCCAAGAAACGAGTCCCACCCGGAAGCCCGTGTCCTTCCGGGTAACTCCCAGTTACCCCCCACCCCGGGCATGATGTGCTGTGGTATGGAATACCTCTTTGGCTAGCCCAGGTCAGGCGCCCCATCTCTGCTTCCTCACAGCTTCCCCTCCTCCCTGGCAGAGCATGAGCCTCACAAAGTCCTTGGTCAGGGTAAACATCCCTTAGCAACAACCGAAAACATCGGCTTCACCAACACTGTTCTCAGGCTGGAAGTCAAAACACAGCACTGCACCAGCTACCACGAAGCAGAAAAATGACTGCTACTGCTGAACCCAGGACACCTGGATGCAGAACTTGAGGATTAGGAGTAGAAATGACTGAAAATTACTTTTGACTTCGTGATTCCAGAGGTCCAGGGGAAACATTTCCCTATTCTAAACCAGAGCAGACAAGAAACTACAGTCTCTCAAGGAATATTTTGTCATTTTGGCTCAAGATAACAAAGCAGTCCAGCCACAAAATTCTATATCTAACCGTTCTTCCTTTAGATATATCTATATTTGGAGAGAAATTATATTTGGGCCGTTTGTCCTGAATACATTAATAACCTACTCAATGAGAAGTACTCCATAAAAGCAATTGTAATGATGTATAAGAGATCATTAACATTCATTCTTCCATAATCTATTAGTGCACTGTTGCAATTGTGCTCTGATTAGTTCTTGATTTTGTTGCTATGTCTGTCTCATTTTTTCTCTTTCTTTCTTTGCTTATACCAACAATATTGCTGATGTTTTGTGCAATATTTTAAGAACCACATAGAATCATAGAATACTTAGGGTTGGAAAGGACCCTAAGATCATCTAGTTCCAGCCCTCCCTGCTGTGGGCAGGGACACCTCACTAAACCATGTCACCCAAGGCTCTGTCCAACCTGGAATAGAACACTGCCACAGATGGAGCATTCACAACTTCTTTGGGCAACCTATTCCAGTGCTTCAGCACCCTTACAGTAAAGAATTTCTTTCTTATATCCAATCTAAAATTCTCCTGTTTAAGTTTTAACCCGTTACCCCTTGTCCTATCACTACAGTCCCTAATGAAGAGTCCCTCCCCAGCATCCTTATAAGGCCCCCTTCAGATATTGGAAGGCTGTTATGAGGTCTCCACGCAGCCTTCTCTTCTCCAGGCTGAACAGCCCCAACTTTCTCAGCCTATCTCCATACAGGAGGTGCTTCACTCCCCTGATCATCCTCGTGGCCCTTCTCTGGACTTGTTCCAACAGTTCCATGTCCTTTTTATGTTGAGGACACCAGAACTGTACACAGTACTCCAAGTGAGGTCTCACGAGAGCAGAGTAGAGAGGCAGGATCACCTCCTTCGACCTGCTGGTCATGCTCCTCTTGATGCAGCCCAGGATACGGTTGGCTTTCTGGGCTGCAAGCTCACACTGCCACTTCCAAGTCCTTCTCTGCAGGGCTGCTCTGAATCTGTTCTCCACTCAACCTGTAGCTCTGCCTGGGATTGCTGCGACCCAGGTGTAGGACCTTGCACTTGTCATGGTTAAACTTCATAAGGTTGGCGTCAGCCCACATCACAAGTGTGTTAAAGTCCCTCTGGATGGCATTCCTTCCCTCCAGCGTACCAACCGACCCACACAGCTTGGTGTCAAAGGCAAACTTGCTGAGGGCGCACTCAATCCCACTGTCCATGCCACTGACAAAGATGTTGAACAAGACCTGTCCCAACACCCTGTGGGCCACCACTCATTACTGGTCTCCAACTGGATACTGAGCCATTGACCACAACTTTTCTCATGCAGACATCCAGCCAGTTCTTTATCCACTGAGTGGTCCATCCATCAAATTGATATCTGTCTAATTTAGAGACAAGGATGTCATGTGGGACAGTGTCAAATGTTTTGCACAAGTCAAGGTAGATGACATCAACCGCTCTACGCTGTCCATCAGTTCCGCAGCCCTATCATAGAAAGCCACCAAATTGGTCAGGCAGGATTTCCCCTTAGTGAAGCCATGCTGGCTGCCACCAAGCACCTTGTTGATTTTCATGTGCCTTAGCATGCCTTCCAGGAGAATCTGCTCCATGATTTTGCCAGGCACAGAGGTGAGACTGACTGGTCTGTAATTCCCCAGGTCATCCATTTTCCCCTTCTTGAAAATGGGGGTTATATTTCCTTTTTCCAGTCGTCGGGAACTTCACCTGACTGCCGTGATTTTTCAGATATGATGGCCAGTGGCTTAGCAGCTTCATTTGCCAGCTCCTTCAGTCCCCACAGATGTATTTCATCAGATCCCTTTGACCTGTGCACGTTCAGGTTCTTAACATGGTCTCAAACCAGATCCTCTCCTACAGTGGGCTTAGGGTCTTCATTCATACATAATATATAGATAATAGATAGATCAGATTATCACATAGATTATACATAGGTCAGATAATATCTACCATTATAGATCTGAATAGAAGAACTGAAAATTTATTATATTCACCACAAAATTCAGGAGCTGTCCAGGCTAACTGAGAAGAGCTATGAATTTGTTCACTTGTTATTTTGGTTTTCAAGATGACAGAAGGATTGACTTCTAAACACAAAATAATAGCAAAGGAAAACAAACTTGGCCCAATCCTGTGCATTTGGTGCTTGAGAGTTATGTATTTATTTTTGGTCAACAAATTAACAAAACAGACCCAGAAGACAGTGTTAGTGTTAGAACCAGGTTAGAATTGGAATGTTTCATTTTGTATGAGTTAGATGTGTATTAGCAACCTTGGGGGAAAAAAAGTATTTAATATCCATTTTCTTCCTTCCTTATAGAAGTAATTTTTGATCTGTTAATTCTTAATTAGAAATACTGAAAATAATGCAGAAAAACCAGTGAAACAGGAGGTAAGTGTCCGTGTGAATTAAATATTAACGTTATAATTACATTAGATCAATGGCAAGAGTCTGCTTTTTAATAAAACCACACTTAATTACCCCCATGCAAATCAGGTGAAATCACAAGAGAACATGGCTCTCTACAGGTGTGATACATAGCTAGAACTTCTCTCTCTGAGATGAGTGAATCAGGTTAAATTTGTAAGACCTAACTTGATGACAATGCCTGGCCTGATCTAGAAAGGAGCCAGGTCTCCATACCACCTACTGTCCTCTGAAAGATATTGAAAAGTCAAGTGATTTGTTTAAGAGCTTAAATATTAATATGTGTGGCTAAATTGCCTTTATCAATAGAGAGGGTTTGCAAGGAAAAACTTAGGAGGAAAGGAGACTGGAGAACCTTTTCTATAATAAAGGAAAACAGTAAAGGAGCTGAAGTTTATCTAAGAGAAGTTTGTAAGGTGGGTTAATAGCAATATACAAATATTTAATGAACATTGTTTTGGTTAGGGTGTCCTTTATCAGAAAATGCATAAAAATTCCCATGCCTAATAGTTTAAATTAGAAAACTTTAGACTAGAAAAATACACTGTATTTTTTATAGCACTGAGAGTAATTAGGAATTGGAACATCTTACGTATGTGCACCTCTGCCACACATTTTCAAGAACAGATTGAAGCTTTTTCTTTTCAAAAGCATACAGTTAAAACATAAATTAATCAAATAAAAAAGTCTTACAGCTCTTGTCAAGCAATCAAAAATGATGTCAGACTAAATGCTAGCAAAGCCTTTTTTTCAAGTCTTGGAATCTGTGGCAAAATTTGAGCCCTGGTTTACCTTTGTACAAATCCTCCTCTACTCCTGTCTTTCCAAATGACAAAATTTAGAGATATTTAGATTAACTTTTTTTTTTTTTGTCTAAATAGTTTGGACATTATTTTCACTAATGCCCAAGTGTTGTTTTCAGGTGAGACCCTATAGAAATTCCTAATTAAAAAATAAAAATAAAAAAAAAACAAACCAATTCAACCACCAAAAAACCTCAGAAAAGAACTGAAAAAATCAAAAAAAAGTATTATATTGAAAAGAAAAAAAAGAAAATATTTACAAAGAATGAGACAAGAGCAAGGGATAAAAACAATAATACAAATGGATAAAATGAACACAATGTCTGGGATTATGGCAAGCCAATAAGACTGATAATATGAAACTACAAATTGAATGTTTTGATTATGCTTTCCGGAAGTGAAAAGAGGATGAATATTAAAGAAATAATCAGAACTGAAGTGAGACAGGAAAGGATTAAAAGAACAACGGGAGGGTTGGGAAAGGCATAAGAAACTGAGAAAATAAGAGGGAGAAGGCAGCTTCTGATGCTATCAGAGTGCTAGTCACCAGTGGAAACAGAGATTAGGAAAAATGTTCAGGTGGCTGGGAAAAAATCCAAAAGATGGATTCTACCAATGAGATTAAGAGATTACAGGTGCTTCTTGCTTTTCTCTGTATGGAGGTAGGACATCGAGTTACTGGCCACAGTTATTAAGCAAGAGCTTATAGTTTCCATGCCTAAAAGTTTCACAATCGCACTTTTGCAGTATCACCTTTGGTTCATTTTGAAAATTTAACACTGCTTCAGTTTTCTTTCAGCAAAATTTTCTTCTACCTGGTTGCCTCTTACACATTCTACTTTAAAACCATATGAGAATATTTCAGTTTAAGTATTAATCAACGTTTGAGTAAGCCTTTCTGTTAATTTCATAGTGGGGCTGAACACAATGTCTGCCTGTAAAATCCAAGGCCCGTTATTTCTTATTTCCTCTGGCTT